GGGGGGGGGGGGGGTGTGACAGTGCTGCTCCTGGGACTCTGTGGCCTGCGTTCACTCGTGTGGTTCGGATTCCCGGAGAGGATCAGAACCGCTCTTGGCCCTGCTGGTCAGGGGCTCGTGCCTTCGACTGTGAAGCCCACGGTAAATGGCACGTCGTCGAAACCTTTTTTGCAGGTAACATCTTAATGCTGGAAGGCAGAGAGAATTCTGAAAAGCAGAAACTGATGCTCATCGACTTCGAATACAGCAGTTATAATTACAGGTAACACGTTACAGTAAAATGTGTTTATTTCCGTATCGTTCTATTAGGTTAATGATACACGTAGGAAACGATTAGAGCAGAAAATGCCAACAAAATACAGCGGAAGCTGGTGCGTTTGTCCCCGCGGCCTGCAGTAGTGCGTGAGGCAGCGAGGCCTGTTCTCCATGGTTCGTGGGGAGCAATGGTGTGAGGAGTCACGATGCGCAACTTGGTATTTTGTTGGTGTCAGAGGTCAGAGCCCTGAGTGCAGGAGGCTCTCAAACCATTGCTTTTTTTCTTTTTTAAGTTTTTTTTTTTTTTTGAGAGAGTGAGTGCACACGCACGTGCAAGTGGGGGAGGGGAAGAGACAGAGAGAGAGAGATTGAGATTGAGAGAGAGAGAGGATCCCAAGAGGCTCCACACTGGCAGCACAGAACCCAGTGCAGGCCTCCCTCCCACAAACCGTGAGATCATGAGCTGAGCCGGAATCTAGAGTCCGATGCTCAATCGACTGAACCACCCAGGCGCCCCTTGAACAATGGCTCTTGAGTCATGGGCACTTTCGTGGCTCCGGTCGGCTGTGGCTCTGGTAACTGCCCCGTTGGCTCTCCCTGTCACTGACACTGTCATCCCCAGGGAACCTCGGGAAGGACAGTTTGTTGCTGGGAGGGGTGCTCACGACTCGGCCTTTGTCCTTCTCTGGCCAGGGAGCCTTGTGCCGTGGCAGGGTGCCCGGTTCACAGCGTCTCTTACCTCTCTTTCAGGGGATTTGACATTGGGAATCATTTCTGTGAGTGGATGTATGACTATAACTATGAAAAGTACCCTTTCTTCAGAGCCAACATCCTGAAGTACCCCACCAAGAAACAGCAGGTAGGAGACTGCTGGGTGGAGGCTTGATAGGAGGTAAATTACATGAGTTGGTTTTATGCAGTTAGAATTGATTACTTCTTCAATTTTCACAAGACTCTTGTGAAAGGGTCAGAATGGTTCAGCAGACCCTTTTGCTCTAAAATGTTATTTTGTGTCAAGACACAAACTTGACATTTTAATCCCCATGCCGGCGATAACCTATGTTCGGTTAGAGAGTGGTCTCTTTTGTAGCTCCTTCTGGTTTTTTCCAAAAAGCCCAGCCTCTGTTCTGCTCTCTGGCCTTCTTTTTGGGGATCACGGTGTTTCCTGTGTGTGTTTCACTCCCTGCAGACAGAAGTGATCTTTTGGGCAGCATGACTTAGGAGCCGCTGTGGTGTTAACCAGTTCCCTGTCCTGTCCCGAGTGTGGGGGTCGAGGGGCCGCGTGAAGAATCACCCTGTGGCAATTTCCCCCTTGGGAGCCCCTACTCCATTCCTCAGCCCACTGCTGGAGCGGCTGGGGATAAGTGGGTAGCGGGGTGGAAGCAGGCCAGGTTGTGGAGAGGGAGGGCCGAGCCCGCTTCCCTGAGCCTGTGCAGGACAGCGTCTCTACCCGCTTCGCGACCCCCCTGCCCCAGAACCGCTCTTCCCGCGGAACCCCTGCCAGTGAGCAGCATTTCAGAGAGGTCAGAGCGGCGCGAGGACGGGGATGCGGCCAGTTGCTGCTGTAACTCACTCGGGACGTGTTTCTCCGTCACTCGCCTGCGCCAGGCGCGGTGATGGTGTCTTCAGTCGATGGCCCACACGCCGGGGGCTGCCGTTCCGATGTTGACTTGCCGTGGGACGGAAACCGCGTTGCCCTCTTCTCGCCACGTCGTAGGGCCAACCGTGATGAACTTGAGCACCAGTTGGCCAGGCTGGTTCTGGCCCTCAAGGTCAGAAGGAAGGGAGGGGAAGAGGGAAGTGTGTGAGAAGGAAGGGAGGGGAAGAGGAGGCCATTTAGCCCGAGGAAGAAGAAACGGCAGTCTTCAGGTATTTGAGTTTTTGCTTCACTGAGAAGAAAGCAGACCTTTGTGAAAACCGGGCAGCCCTAGAGGTGAGAACCCTCAAGCCGGGAAGAGGGGCTTTTCAGTAAGAAGACAGGTTTCCTATTAACGCGCAGAAGAGCTGTGTGACCGCCAGCACCGCACAGCAATGCGAATAGTTATTGGTCTTTTTTCGATACCCCTTCTGCACCGCTGAGGTAATCTCGCACTTGTCTCACTTTAGGCCGTTAATGAGATGTTTTAAAATGTTAAACCATCTTAGAATTTCTAAAATAGACCACTCGAGTGAAGTGTGTCATTTTGGATCGCTCTCTTGGATCCAGTTAAGCAATCTCTCACTTGGGAGTTTGACATCTGTGTACATACGTGGATTGGGCTCTTAACGTTCATTTTAAAAACCATTATTCATATCTGCTTGTGGAATAAGAATTATACTAGTCTAATAAAATGAGTCGGGTGTCCCTTTTTAATTTTCTGGAACAAATTTATATTAAACATGACGTTCTTTGAAGATTTGGTAGACTTTGCCTGTAAGAAAACGTGGGCCTAGAACTTTTTGGGAGAGAAGGCCATGAATGGTGACCCCATCTCTCGGGGTGTTGATCTATTCAAATTTTCTGCCGACTTGAGTATTTAGTATCTCCTGGAAATTAACCCATCACGTGTGGTGGTTCACGCATGGGTTTTAGAAACTACTGTGCCATTTGAATCCCAATCTGCTACTGACTTTACTGTCACCTGCTGTGTCTGTGCTTCCATTTCCTCATCTGCAGAAATTATTTTGTTACCGTGAGGGACGAGGTAATATGCAGAAACAAATGCTCAGAGTAGCACCTGCTGCATAGAATTTACTAGGGGCCAGTGGTCACCTTTTCTGTGCAGATTTACTCCTTCTGGAACCCCCTGCTAGGACAGTGCTTGGGCTGGAGGGATGCCTTCTGGTGGGAGGGGGTACACTGTGTGAAAGCCGGTTTTGGAGAAGGGCGATGGCCGAGCTGGTCGAGAAGGAGTGTTGGCATTCCAAGTAAGTAATCGCTTCCTGGCGTTCTTCTGGGTCACGTAACTGATGCCGTTTCTTTATTTATCAGAGAAAGCAAGCGGTAGTTTGCTGTGTTCTGTATAAGATGAAATACAGAAGGACATGGGATCTCCCAAATCCTAATGCGAGTGTGGACTATGTGTGGGGCCTGGTAGACCCTCTTCTCCAAACCAAAATTAGACGTGGCCAACGGACAGACATAAATGTGTAGATAATCATGGCACCGCAGGGAGAAGGCCCTTCCGCACGGTCTGGTCAGCTCTCACCCTCGGGTGGCGGGGGGGCACCTGCCAACACCTTTGGGCTCCCTGGCGCCTGGGCCTGGGCTTCCTGCGGTGACCCCGCACAGAATGCCAGCCAGTCTGGGGAGACGCATGATGTAGGCTTTGCACCCAGACCATGGGAAACATGAGTGTGGATTAGATTCTACCTGTTTTCGCTGGAAGTCATCGTAATTTCCCGTACTAGTCTTGCCAACAAGACAGCATCGACAGCAAGCTGGAGCTCCCTGCCGGATCAGCGAGCTTCCACACTCCCCACGCCTGGCACAGAGCTGCTCGGGCTCGGCTGGGCCTTCTCCAGGCGTCTCTGGCGATGCGGGGTGTCCACTGGACGTGTAGTGCTTCCTGACAGCTGTCGGCACCGTCTGTCTAACCATCACTGACTCTGATGTAATTCCTTTTTTTTAAAGCTCCACTTTATTTCCAATTACTTGGCCGCATTCCAAAATGAATTTGAAAACCTCAGTAATGAAGAGAAGTGCATTATAGAAGAAGAGATGTTGCTTGAAGTCAATAGGTAATTGTTTCCTTTCATTGATTGATAAAGATAGCTGTCCTGTTCCAGAATATGATTGGGATGACTGCTCGCAATCCTGAGTATTTTAGGAGCTTCTCTACAAACATACGTGTCTAGGACTTATACTTTGTCCAAAGGGGAACATTTGACACCTCTCTAGATTGCAGCTCACGGCAGGGGCGGGGAGCAGGGTCAGTGCACAAGGTCAGGAGGCTTGGATGGTGCCCCAAACTGTAATCCACGTGTAAGACTCAGCGGAACAAGGCCGTGCCATCCAGGGCCTGCACCCTCTTGTCGCCCGATGCTCGTGAGATGGTGGGCACCATCCATTAATGTGTTTCTTCTAAAAAATAATGACAGATTGTGAGCATTGGTTCTGAGTCTTGCTTGTTTAACTTTGTTTCAGCAGCTCTCAAAGCAGGGCTGAGAAACTTCTGGATTTTGTAAAGGTTCAGACCCCTGTGTATCATACACACTCATCTCCCAAGTCTGGAGGCTTGAGTTACTCCCATCCTTTGGGGTCTGTTACAACAGGAGATTCTTGCTAAAAATGTCTCCGTACCTCTGACCCACCTTGTTCTGTCCAGCCCACTTAGCACAGATCATGTCTTCCAGATCCTGGTCTTCAGAAGTGTCCACACCCCTGTTGCTGAGCCTGTGGCCAGCCCTGCCGTCCCGGGGCTCCCCCTGCAGCACGGAGCTTCCCTCTCTGGTTCGGGAATGGATAGAAAATAGAAAAAGGGAGAGCCAGACAGGAAGGGGAGCCCCAAGGGACGTGTAGAGGGTCAGGGAGTCCAAGCAGGGGTGAGGAGGATACTAGAGCATTCAGTGAAGCCCACAGGCACTGTTGTGAGGGGGCACGTGCGTGGGTTCACGGTGACCGAGGCCATGGTGCGGCGTAGAGATGGGGACTGTCACACCCTCCTCTGTTTCACCGCTGTGCTGCGAGGGCAGGGGTGAGGGTGGGGCGGCATCCAGCTCCAGGAAGGGTGGTGAGTTATGCAGAGACCTGCATTTTCCCCCTCTTGCTGCACAATGCGCCCTGAGGGTTGCTGGTGCCGTGGGCTCACACGTGTAGCAGACAGCGTTTCTTTCCCAGCGTGGCCCGTGCCTGCCTGCGTGGCCCCCAGGGCCCCCGTTGAGTCCCGTGACTGTGTGACTGTCGCCGTCCCACTCGGCAAGTCCACCCGCCCCCAGCCAGAGGTGGGCGGAGCCGGCAGCCGTGCTCCCAGCTGCTCGCTCCCCGTGGCGTGTGATCCCACCGAGCTGGCCAGGGCAGACCCAGTTTGCATCCAGAGGAGGTAAAACGCCCACCTGCAGGAAATTCCGTCATCGGGCCTGTGGCTGGTGCCGCCCATCTCACGTGCGTCTCCTGCTCTTGTAATTACAGGTTTGCCCTTGCGTCCCATTTCTTCTGGGGACTTTGGTCCATCGTACAGGCCAAGATTTCTTCCATTGAATTTGGGTACATGGTATGTTTTGGGGGTGGTTTTCTCTTCTATTCTCAGAAAGAAAATTGTTAACGATGTCTGTGAATGCTTGGTGGTAAATGACCGCTCTTTGCAGAGGGCTCCCTGTGCCCCTGCAAGTTGTGACTGAGGCGACCCGGCACCAGGACAGCAGGCTCAGCCCAGGAAGCTGAGGGTCAAAGGCTGCATAATTTAACCCACTCTCACTGGCTCTGCATCTGCAAAGGCAGGTGACCAGCAGGCCAGGCCTTCCCTGCTCCAGAGAATGCTGTGTGGTCCTGTGGTTCGCCTGGGGGATGTAGAAATCGGACGCTGGAGGTCCAGCCCTCAACCTCAGTCCCTTCGGACACAAGGGACAGCGAGTGAAGGAACACGATGGGGTCTGCCTCTGTGTTTTCCTCAGCTGTCACGGCTCCGTTCTCCGGCCTGCAGCGCCCCACGTCGTGCGGGCGGCTGGTGCTGACTCAATGAGCCGTCCTGGTCGCTGCAGGCAAGTTTGACCAGCCAGGCTGTCGTTTTCTTCTAAGTTCAGGAAGCGTCCTTGACGTAGACAGTTTTAACCTCGAGTTAAGCCCTCTGTTGGCCCATGGTGAGTGTTGGGAGCGTGTTCCAGGGCAGGGGCATGTAATGTCTCTAGTGAGCACCTTGCTTTGAGACAGGAGGTAGGAGTGACTAGTTCTCCGATCCCCTAGTCCTGTACGAGGCGGAAGGGTTGGTGCTGCACAGGTGGTCTCAGGCCAGAGAAGGGGAACGTGGACTTTTGACGCTGGTTTAGTCACGGTCACGTGATTATCGTAAGGCAAAGTAGACATCAAAAAAATACTACCAGAGATAAAGAATAATTTTGTAATAATAAAAGGATCGCTTGATCTAGAAGACATTAAGAAAATCGTGAATGCGTCCATACCTTTCTTGCTTCAAAAGACGTGAAGCAACACCTGAGAAAACTGATGGAGAGAGAGGCGGACCCACAGAGCAGACCTCCCCCTCCCTTGGTGACAGCAGAGCCAGAAACACAGCAGCAGGAGGGACGGAGGAGTGGACAGCACTCTCCCGGCTTGACGTAACTGATGCCCACCGCAGAAGGTACATTCTTGCCCACTGAATATGGAATGTTCATCAAGATGGACCATACGCTGAGCATTAGAAAATAGGTCTCAAGTGGAAAAGAATTGAAATGCAGAGAATATACTCTGACCCTGGTGGAATTCAATAGGATATCAACAACAACAGAATCCTGAAACTTCTTATTTGGAAGTCATTTGGAAATTAAACAGTACATCTAAGCCCTGGATCAAAGAAGAAATGAAACAAAATATTTCAAAGAAAATTATAAGGGAACACAGTATATCAGAATTTGTGAGATGTAGTTGGAGTAGTGTTTAAAAACTTGTGGCTTTGAAGGTTACACATTTGTATTAGATAAGAAGGTTTTCAAACCAGTGACCTTAAGAAGCGAGAAAGAGAAAAACAAGCTTAAGCCCAAAGTCAGTAGAACTAAATAAAAATAAAAGCAGAAATCGTTGAAATAGAAAATGAATGGGAAAAAAAAGTCAGTGAAACCAAAAGTTGGTTCTTTGAAAAGTTCAATAATATTTATAAACTTTTGGCTGTACTGAGCAAGTAAAAGAGAAGACACATGACTGATACCAGGTATAAAGAAGACATCACTACAGATCCTATGGATGTTAAAAAGGGTAAGAGAATATTATGAATAACCTCATGCCAACGGATCGACAGTGTGCACGTGCAAATGTCTTAGAAGATACAAATTACCAAAACTGACATAACAAATGACCATATATTTATTCAATAAATTGAATTCATAATCAGAAAGGAAGAAGAAAAACTGCCTTTATTTTATAGGTGACATGATCATGTACATGAGTAAATATAAAAGAATCAATAGAAAACTATGCAGGGAGTTTACTGAGGTCACAGGATACAAGGGCAGTGTATAAAAACCAGCTGCATTCCTATATGGTAGAAATAGTTACAGATGAAATTTCACTATATTGACAATGGCATAAAAGTATGAAATACTTAGGGATAAGGTTTTTAAAATATGTGCATGACCTGTGTACTGAGAGCTGTAGAACATTGCTAAGAGAGCCTAAATGGAGACAGAGACCACATTCATGGCTTCAGAAGACTCGGTATTAAGAGTCTGTTCTTCCCAAACCGATCTCCAGAGTCTCCACGATCCCAGTCAAAACCCGCACAGGCTTTTTGGCAGAAACTGATAAGCTGATTCTAAAATGTATGTGAAACTAAAACTAAGGAACCAAGTCGGAAGACTCATTCTGCCTGATCTCGAGATGTATCGACACAGTGTGGCATTGGTGGAAAGACGGACGTCAGTCAAATGGAGCAGAGTCCACTGCCCAGAAATAGACTCGCACGTAGAGCCAACCAGTATTTAACAGAAGGGCCGCAATAATTCACTGGGGGAAAGAAAGGGTTATATTTTCAAAACTGATGTGGGAACAACTAAATAGCCATATGGAAAAAATACTGAACCTTGATCTCCTGCCATACACAAAAGTTAACTTGAAAGAGAGAACAGACCTAAATGTAAAAGCTCAGACCACCACGTGTCTGGAAAACACAAGAGAGAAGCTTCCTGACCGAGGCAGAGATTTCTTAGGTTACATAAAGCACTGACCATAAAAGTAAGTTGGGCTTAATCAAAATGAAAAACTTTGGCTCTTTGAATGACATCCTTAAGAAAATAAAAAGGCAAGCACAAACAGGAGAAGATGTTGCAAATTTGTATCTGACCAGGACTTGTATTTAGAATACAGAAAGAACTCACAACTTAGCAAGAAACCAAACCTCCTTTATAAACAGGCAAAAGATTGGGACACTGCACAGAAGAGAAACAAATGGCCAGTACACATCTTTTTGTCTGCATAAGGTAATAAGTCATAAAAAGAGATGCAAATCAAATCTTCAGTGTGATTCCCTACACACCTGTGATGGTGGCTAAAACCTTAAGACACTGACAATATCAGACGTTAGCAGGAATGTGGAGCAGCCGAAACTGGCATACGTTGCCGAGGGGGCTGGTGAGAGGGTCTGGCCGGTCTGGAAGACAGTGCGGCCACACATTTACCGTACAGCCCAATAGTCTACTGTGGCATCATGGATCCAGGAGACGTGAAAGCATACATCCACGCCAGGACTTGGGTTCAGATGCTCACAGCAGCTTTCTGTGTGATAGCCCTGAAATGGAAATGCCCTCCATGCCGATCGGATGAACGGATAAATGTGCCGTGTGAGGTCCAGATGATGGAAGAGTACCCCGCAGTAAGCCAGAATGAACCCAGATGCTCACCACAGCACGGATGAATCCCAGAAACGTTACGCCGAGTGAAACAAGCCAGGCAAAAGGGTACAGACCGGGTGACTCCATTTATGGATAAGCTGTCTATTAGCAATCCGTACTGATCGAAATTGGTTCAGAGGCTGCCTGTGGCCAGGCAGCGGGGTGGGACCCGTGGAAACTCGAGTGTGCCAGAATATTCTTTATCGTAACTGTGGTGGTGCTGCTGAACTCGATGTATGCGTTTGTGAAAACTGTCCAACCGTGTGCGTGAAGGAGTTAATTTTTGTGGCATAGAAGTTACACCCCAACACCGAATTGTGAACAGCGATGCTGTGATCTTCCGGCAGTTAGCGTCACACGCTTTTCAGTTTGGAGCAGGTGCTTAAGAGATCGCGTCGTCCACCCCGACGGATGGATGGGGGAGCAGGCCCAGAGACACACGGTGGCTTGACCGTTCTCGTTCTCGAATGCCCAGAACGCGAGACCAGCTTTTCTTACTTCCCTCTCTCATTCTGGGCAGTAATCATGCCGTAGGGGGTTCCAGAAAACCCATGGTGCGTCCTTTCTTGCACCTCTGTCCTCTGCTTCCTGACACCCCCGGGACCTTTTCCTTTGAGAGGGGAGCCTTTGTTTGCATCATTGTCTGCAGCGTTCCGGTCGACAAGATGGCGCACCGTGGCAGCGCACAAATACGTAGGCGGGGGTCCCGTCTGGATTTCAGGGCCAGGGTGGCCAGGGTGACTGAGCTTGGTGCCTGGGCTCCCGGACAGCCTGCGGCAGCCAGAGCTGTTCTGTTCTGTGCCCTTGGTGGTTGGGGCCCTGCCCTGGGGGGCGGGGGGGGGGGGGGTTGGTGCGGGATGTGGGCGGCTCTGGGCGGGAGTCCTTGGTGAGCCTGCCCTTCCTTGTGTCTCCTAGGACTATGCCCAGGCAAGGTTCGATGCCTATTTCGACCAGAAGAGGAAGCTTGGGGTGTGAGTGTGGGAGGCGCCAGCGGCTCCATCCCTGGACCGTGCAGGGGCGGCCGAGCCAGAGGGGGCCCTCGGTGCTCCGACTGCCATACCAGCGGCACGAAGGCTCGGATGTCTCGCTGCCCAACACAGATGTGTATGATACGAAAGACTGTATTAAAACTGAGTAACATTTATTTCATATCTTGTTTACGATTTCACTAGGACTCTGCGATGAGATGGGAAGCAGAAATATAGTGCAATAGTGCAATATCTCAGAATCCTTTTAATGTAGGCAAGGCATCTTGTGTCCGGGGCCCGAAGTTTTCAGTCAGATATGGCAGACAGCAAGAGTGAACCGTGTTTCTGCGGGTACTTTTTTTGGTTAACGTTGCTTTTTTCGAGGATGTGAATGAACGGCCGTGAGCACGGCAGCCAGGCTCTCTGGGGGAGCGAACGATGTGTGTAGACGCCGCTCGCTCCCGAGGGTGGCCCGTCAGCCGGGCCGGACCGTGACGTCGCTCTGCGGCCCGGCCGCGAGTCTCCGAAGCTGCTCCTTCAGCTTCTGGTCCGCGTGGCGGATGCACGAGACCGCAGACGGCTCGGGAGGGGGGTGAGCCGTTGTCTGCGTCCCGTGACCGCAGCCCCCGGGGACCTGTCAGGCCGGCACGTCGCCCCCTCACCAGGCGCTTCCCCCGCCCTGCTCTCCTCCGTAACTGAATGCGCTTCTCTAACCCCGGCTCCGGGGCGGGCAGGCGGCTGTGGCCCACACAGAGCCCGCGGCCGGCCGAGGAGCAGTGTGGGGTCCTGGGGACACACACGCCTCCCGGCTGCCTTCCCCGTGGAAAGCGGGGTTGGCCCGAACGTCTGCAGCTTTTCTCTTCCTCCTCTGCCTCTGCTCGGGGATCCTGTGACCGGGCTGGCTGCCCTGGCATCGTCCTGCCCGGGGGCTCCCTCTGCTGGGGGCCGTGGGGCGCCGGAGGCCCGGCTTTGGCCCTCGGGCCAGGTGCCCCCGCCCTCGCTGCCCCCCGTGTCCCTGACGGATCACTCTGGTGGGAAAGAGCAGCCAGTATACGGAATGTGGGGGTGTGGATGCAGTAGGCCTGTGACACCCATATATATTAAATGTCCTTTGGGATGATTTTTTTTTTACTCTGAACTCTTATTTGAATTATTTTGTGCATACGTTTCTGCTACCAGAGATTGTACTATACAAACAATAAAAGCATACAAACCGATCCTCACTGTCACCCTTGGGTGTGTCCTAAGTGTCAGGCAAGGCTCCCAACCCACCCCCATCCCCGTAAAGACCCCTAGAAGGATGTAGAAACTGGAAGCAATGGTATATCCCGGAGGAAACTGAACGGGTTGCCTTGGCCAAGGCAGGAGGGACATTTTCCACTATTCACCCTTCTAGACATTTAAAATTTTAACCAGGTGAATGTGTTTTGGTATCTGAGCAATAAACGGTCCCTCACGCCTGCGTAAGCTCTCACCCAAGAGCGATGCTCCCCCCTCCTTCCTGTGCCCACCCAGGCTTTGCCCTGTGGCCCTGCCACCCACACCCTCCCCACCGCATCTGGGGGTTCCGAGCAGGGCAGTCCTGGACCCAGGGGACGGGCTCCTCCCAGCAGCTGGCCAGATGAGCGCCAGGCCACCCGGCTTGCTGTGCCCAGGGCCTTGCTGGCCTCAAAGCGGCCTTTGTTCCCCGGGGCCTCCTGCCGGAAGAACCACTTTGCAGCTCTTCGGCCCGAGCAAGCAAGGCCTCTGAGAAGCACTGGTGCTGCCTTCTAGCCAGTGGGGGGACCCAGGCCAGAAAGACATGTGAAATGCCATCATCCACCCCACCAGCCGGAGGATGGCCTCAGGGGAACAGGACCGGTCACCCAGGGAGGGATGGGAGAGACCACAACCTCCCCTGAAGGGGCGGTGGGGCCTGGAGGCCAGTTCAGCCTCACCCGCGGGGCCCTGGACAGCCTCTGCCCTTCTCTGCAGGACGGTGGCGTGTGTATGTATGTAATCACTGCCCCGTGTGGAATGCGTGCGTGCGTGTGTGTCCTCGCTTTGGACCATCGTGAGTGCCTGGGGTGGGGCTGGCACCAGGGCGTGGAAGTATTGGCCCATCTGTGCCAGACATCACCCTTCATGCCCAGAGTATCCGGAATGTTCTCTTAACAGCCAGTTTGCGCATCCCGTGGATGAGGAGCTCACTCCCCACCAGCTCAGCCTGGTAAGACACTCATTCGGAACTAGAATGTGCTGGAAACATCTCTCCTGGGTCCTAGTTCTGCCCCTACTTCACCCCAAGGCTCTGGGATTACTGCAGATGTACCGTGGGGCCTCTCCCCAACTTCTCAAGGTTCTAGATCCCACACCAGGGCCTCCCACCCCG